CTGCACAGGGACGGCATAATAACCTTCAAGGCCCATTTTTGAAATCCACAAACAGACAGGGAAGACATGATCTGTTTAACGTTACAGTTATTGCAGCCATATAACGTACTAAATATGCAGTAACCTCTTAGCAAAACAGGCAGGTATGAATCAGCTGATAGCACAGACGACAACTTACAGCTGCGTCCTTGACTCAGGCCTGCAGATGGTTAGTCAGCCCACTTGTTGAGTTATGAATTCGTTGTGTGCAGATGTCAGCTTGCTCACTATCCTCTCCTCTGTCTCCACCTCGTTCTCCTCAGTAGCATCAGCTCAGCCATGATGTCAACTTGTTTCAGTCACAGCTGCTTTTTTCCTTCTTTAATGGGAGGGTGTGAATACATCTGAGGACGACTGTGGGCATCAAACTCCCTGCTGGAAAGGATGAAACAATGTGGTGCACAACAAGAGGCTTGAAAAAACCGTGACATAGTTTAGAAAGTTGTTTTTTTCATTCATCCTTTAACCCACATATAGACCTCCCTGAGTGTATCTCCCACACTTCTGCTACATGTCTGTCCCAGTTTAAACCTCAGCATTTTAAAAAAAATAAGATGCAACATGAAAGAGCAAACTTGGCACGCTGCTGCAAATTTAAACAAACAGAAAAAAAGAAACTGGATGGACCGGGCTTTGTGGCATTGTGACAGATCTTCACATACTTTCCCAACAGCGTGTGTGTTCACGCAGCGGCTGAGTCACGGCGGCTGGTGCACTCGTGGTGAGAACGGGGAGTGTTTTCAACGTCACTTGGAAGGAAACGCAGCGACACCGTGAATGACGGGCGAAAGCTTAAATCAACATTTCCCCTCCCTATAATTTGGGCATCGACTTGTTCTGACATGTTTGACTTCTGACACACATTTTTAATGACATGCCAACAATCAGCTCTTGTGTTGCACAGGTCCATACTTGATGCTTCCGCTTCAGGGGGATATATTGAACTTCTTATATGCAAATGTAAAGCTATATGAACAAAAATGAATAGAAATTAACTAAAAAAAAAACCAAAAAACCCCACTTTATCCACATATGTGTAATATTTCAACCAATGTTCTCATTCTTTACAAGTGCGGTATACGGTCTACCTCGCTGTTTACACACATATTTAATGTTAAACAGCTAATTTTGGCTTTTCTACTTAATGTTTGTAATTTTACATAAGTTACACTTCTATTGCTTGGATTTTTACTTATATTTTGCTCTTGTTTTACATTGTACTTATTATTTATTAGGCTTTTTAAAAAAAAAACAAAATACGGGACCTGAGTAGGGGTGCCGCTATAGCTCACCTGGTTGAGCTGGTGTCCCATGTGTAGGGGCTATAGTCCCCAATGCAGCGGCTACAGGTTCAAGTCATGGCCCGAGGGCAAGAAGGTTGACACACCTGGGATCTTTCTGCATGGAGTTTGCATGTTCTCCCCGTGCAGCGTGGGTGACAGCGTGTGACAATGTGATTTGTTCTTGATAGATAAAGTGTGTATATAATCTCAAAATGTTATTGATTTTACAATGTACATACAATACATATTGCAGTAAAAATGTAACCACAATCAACTTTTGCAATCTGTATATTCAGGCTTAAACTAAACTGGGATTATTGGACAATAGGATGAAGGGTTTTGTTTTAATTTTTCCACCTTGGCCCCTTTAACAGGAAACACCTATTAGAGGGGATTTCATGCATAAGAATGTCCAATATTCCTCTTTCAAATGTCACTGATGTTGCGTCTAGCCACATCTGACATGATTCAATGCGTTAAGACATTGTGGTATACTGTCCACCAGCTTGTTGATGGTGTCAGTGGGCAGGACGTCCCACTCTTCAGTTCACAAAGTCAGAATTTGTTTCACCGTTGGGTAACTGGACTCAGTATGTAATCATTGCACCTGGTCAGAAGTAATTACAGATGTGTATAAATATAAATATAAATAAAAAAAGAGGACTTTATATATATATATATATATATATATATATATATAAACATTTCTTCTAGTGATGAACGATATTAAAATTTATTTTATTTAAAACGATATTAAAAATCCATTATCTATACACCGCCTAATCTTCACTAGGGTCGTGGGGGGCTGGAGTCTATCCCAGCTGACTCAGGGTAAAGGCAGAGGACACCCTGGACAGGTCGCCAGTCTCTCACAGGGCTACACTTAGAGACAGACAACCAAGAACACTCACATTCACACCTACAGACAATTTAGGATCACCAATTAACCTCAACATGTTTTGGACCTTGTGGGAGGAAGCCGGAGAACCCGGAGAGAACCCACGCTGCACGGGGAGAACATGCAAACTCCACACAGAAAGATCCCGGTGCCCCCACCGGGACGCGAACCGGTGACCTTCTTGCTGCGAGGCAACAGTGCTAATCACTGATCCACCTTGCAGCCCCTGGCCGATGCTGATATCTGATATTATTTATGATATCGCCAATAACCGATATTATCGATATTCAATTTTTGTTCACACCAAAAACACCAATATCGGCCGATATGTGGTCACTGATATATCGTGCATTCCTAATTTTTTTCTTTTTTTAATGTGTCCAAAGTATATCAGTTTCAGTCAAGCAACAACAACAAAACAATACTTGAAACAATAAAATATTTTCCATGAGCCAGGAAAGAGAAAAAACATTATTTAAAAAGAAAAACGACCGCATTGGAATGCAAAGAAATGACAGGAAGCAATGTGTTTGTGGTACATGCCATAGTACATAATAGGGGATTTCACTTTGAACACTCTCGGAAGTATAGTTTGTTTTGCTGGAGGTGGAGTTTGAACTCAAGACTACAACAAAGATTTTTTACAAATTTCCAGGCTGCAATAAGATCAGATTTCTCTTATCAGGGAAACTTCCTCTGACAGTAACTGTGAGGAACCGGAGAGTCTCTAATGTCACATAATGTCACCCTGCACAGAGGAAGGAAGTCTTACGCAGTCCCAAGAGTGATTTGTTCTTTGAGGGAACTGCCCACGTCGTACGTATGTTTGCACGTCTGTTGTGCAAAGACAATTACTCACCATTTAGTCATCCGCGGCCACGCCTAGCAATTACTGCGGATGAGCTTTGATGGCAGAGAGAGGAGCGCTCTCCCGACTCACCACTGCCATCCAGTGACACACACTGTAACCCTGAGTACATGCTGCTGCTGTGGTGCAGTTCAAGGCTGTGGTGCCGTCACGTGGGCACGAGGTGACAGCATCGTGTATGCATCAAGGAATTTAACCCAAAAGTGACAGGGCTCTCTCTTGCTGCACGTGGCTTCCTGTTAACTGCAAAATGTGGTATAAATACACGAGTTTGATCCACATGTTACAGCGGCTAGATACAAATGAAACAGACAGAAGAAGACAAGAAATACAAAAGTATAATGAAGAAGATAAAGATATAATAAAGACTGTGTACAAGTACTGGTGTGATGGATGAATGCACCCAAACTGGAGACACGTGTTGCAAAAATTGTCCTTAGATGTTGTCACCGGATAGCGTGTTAGCATTTCTTTTGAACAGTGAAAGTGCCATATTATTTTATTACACTAAAAAATATATATATCTATACATAAAAAAAAAAACAAAAACAAAAAAAACCCCAGTGTGACATTATTTTTTTGCACTAAAACAATGTTACATTCAATAAATAATGTGACTATTTGTACGGTATTTAAGTGTCTTTACAAATAAATACAAGTATTTACATCATGTTATCGACACCTTATATTTCTGATGATATTACAGCAATAGAGAAATGCTACAAACCATTGTGGGAAGTTAGATCATTAGATTTCAGGATTTTTTTTCTTGGTTTATCAGTTACAACAAAACTTGGGAGTTATTTTCAGTCACAATCTTAATATTAGAATCAGAATCAGAAATGTTTTATTTATTCCCAAGTGGAAACTCCTTTTTGTTACGTGCACGTTTCCCGCCCAAGAATAAAGGTAGAAATATAATAAGAGTCAAATATATATATTTTTAAAAGAATAAAAATATACATTAAAGTTAATAAATGAATATCAAAGTACAAAAAATATCAACCTCTAAAAAAAACCAAACATATTTACACATATTTACAGTTAATGTGCAGATTATATGAAGATTTGTAAAATTGCAGTCACTATATCTGGACTCTGGTTCAACCCTGCTATCTACAAATCTAAAATATTATCCAAGTCTAATCAATACTACCCGAACCACTGCTGCAACAAACAACTTATCCTCCTCCTCATTGTCTCCTGCCTGTGCTGCTGCAGCTCAATATTCATTTTCCTTCAGGATGCTGCGATCGTCTGTTTACAGCTGATTCCAAACTCAGCAGCAAAACACGTCAGTCCTGTCATGGCTCCACATTCGTTACCGAATTCAATTTAAAATTGTCTTGATTGCTTTAAAATCTCTGCACGGTCTGGCTCCACATCTCGGTACTTTTAACCCTTTATTCTGCACTTGGATGCCTCAGATCAGAGAATCAGCTGCTGGTGGTTAAAGTCCCACAGCCCAGGTTTGAGACAAAAGGGGGACCATGTTTTATCTCCAACACTCTGGAAAAAGCTTCCCCTCATTGTCAGAGAGGCTCCGTTCAAAAAGCTTTTCAAAACTCATCTGTACAGACAGGCATTTGTACATTATTTTCTGCTTTTTGTAATGTTTTCTTGCTGCTTTTTAATGTTTTGTATGTTTTAACGCCTTGTAAAACACCTTGTATCGAAATAAAGTTTGTCATTCTTAATCAACTGACTGAACAGAAATAGAAATTCCCATCTGGCCATCTAGGATCTAGCAGTTCTACTTTGATTTTCTGGTTTTTACTTCTAACATCACATGTACCATGACAGAGCATTTTAATGCTCTCCAACAATAAACTGAGCTACTGTGACAACATAGGAATGTGTTTACTGCAAGTTTACAGCATGAACTTGGATTGTGCTGATGTTTGATAAGGCCACGGTTATGTCATTGGAGTATTAATGTAATCAGTGGGCCTTTATTAGAGTGTGAACAACACAGGGATGGTGAGACAGAGTTCAAACAGGGGGCAGCAGCCCTCACTGCAGTACTGGTGACTACCAGCAGATGGCAGCATTGACCAGCCTTCATTAAGCAGTTGCGTTCATTTACAAAACTATTTCCTCATCAGACGCCTCAGAAGCTTCACTGTTTTGTTTTATGTAGCTGCTAAAGCACTGCTGAACCTCTGATAAACACCTAAAACCGCGGAGAAGCTGTGGTATTATTTAAAACTAGCGCTGTGATGGTTAAAAAGTGGGCCGAGCAGCTCGCAGCGCCACCGCCCACTTGCTGATGCCAGCAGGTCATGCGGCCTCCACTGTTTTGATCCGCAGCTCGGACCGGCGGGGAGGAGATGGCGGAAGACTGGCAGTCCGGGTGACTCTTTACGAGCAGCCCTGCCATTGCGATAAAACTCCATTGTGTATAGGAAGACAGGAGTTAGCAGGGAAGCTGGCGGCGTTGTACGGCACTCGGTTCCGCCAGGAGGACATGGAGATCACGGCGGAGGGAGAGGCGGAGGAGCGCAGGTAAGTGACAGCCAGGGCAGGGCAGCTTACCCCCGGCTAACTGGGTTCAGAATGTGATTACGTAAACAACATTACTACAAACTTCTGTCATTGAAACTCACCCGCTTGGTAGATAAATGAAACACATTTAAGTGGAGTCACTGTAAACATGCCTGGTAGCCAGTTAGCTAGCTAGCTTAAACACTGGTGGGTTACTCAGTGCTAGCTGCAGAGCTAGCCTGGGCTAACCTGACATGTCAGGGTTTCGCAGTGTGGAGCTAACAGCATTAGCCTCGCGGCTTATGCAATACCAGCAGATAGGTTACTTATTGTGTAATGCAAGTTTGGCGGTATTAAAACTACGCGGACCCTCTGTAGCCACCGTTGGGGCATTTACCCACTAATGTTGTCAGTGCTAACTGTTAGCTATCCCCAAGCTAACAGCTAATGCTAGCTGTCAAATCAAGTTTTGTTAGCTGTCGCTGGTTGTGTTGTCCTGGATGCTCACACACTATTAAAATAACTAACAATCCGTTGTGTGATTCAGAATATGAGGTAATTTAACAAAATTTAGGGCTTGTTATGCTACATTGGTTTCCTGTAGACGAATTAAAATATTATAATAATAGCCCTTTATGACAACGTTATGTCTAAACGAGTTTATTTGGGAAGAAATGCTGCATAAATTCACAGATTTTTCTGGTGTTCTGAAACAAGAGACGCTTAATTATCACCTATTAACTGTTCAAATTTGGTGTATTCGCCGATTTAGTGTCAGTGGTGTGGATACGGTTGGCAGAAAATCTTGCTTTAATGGAGCAGTAGGTACATGGATGATGAGGAAAGTTGTGAACAACTGCTTGGGGGTGACTTCATTGACAGACTAACAGGCAGGCTGCACCGTGAAAACTTTAAGATCCTCTTCGTTTCTCCAAGATTTAAAGGTCAGACTCTGTAAACACATCTGCCACGAGGTTTCTGTAGAGGAACACACACACACACACACACACACACACAGACGAAACAGATAGCTGAAATCTTTATCTTCAACCTCAGTAACCTCTGGAGTCATGAGGAAATGTACTGTGTGTTGTCCTACACAAACACACACACACACACACACGTATATATATACATATATACATGCACTTAAATGCATCATGCCCCACGGTGTGTACAGAATGTTCTCCAATGTTCAGCCTTCTTCTCTCATTGTTAAATGATGTGATTCGATTAGTTTTCTGTGTGGCTCAACTCGTGATGCTGCTGCTTTACACAAAAAAGACTTTTTGTTATTCAGTGTGCTGCTTCGAGGTTTCATTTCATTTCCAACCAGCCACTCTGCACATCCACTGACGCTGAGATGTCACTTTGATTCTTTAAGGAAAAGAAAATCTGATGTACTGAGGCTACGTCTGCATAATCTTCTCGCAATCTGATAACATATTAATGAGAAACTGACTGATATTTTACAAACTACAAACTCATGCGCTGCAGACAGTGCTGAGAGAGTTTTTAACATTGGAGTCGCAGCCACTCTGTTGGGTAAACTATTTCTAAATGACCCAAAGCATCTTTTTCGGATTCAGAGTCTGTAAAACAAACTTTGATATCATTGTGTATCTTACAGCATTTACGCAAATAGTGGTATATCTCTGACAAGCCAATGTGAACTGACAATACAGGCCAACCAGTGTTTCTCAGGCTCTGATATTGTTTGATCTGCTTAGATGTAATTTAAAGATTACTGATTTATAATTCATAAAACATTTAAGCACACAGCAAATGTTAAAGCTATAGGACAGCCTGAGGAATGCACCCTCAGGTGTCGACAGCAGATTAGGTTTTGTCCTGCTGTTGCAGTTATGGGACTAGTTTTGAACATCTTCTCTGTTTGCTGATTTCAGGGAAAAAGAGGAAGGTCTGGATATGAGCCAGCACTTTATGGCTCTGAGACAGTGCGACCTGATATCATTCTGTGTTGTATCCGACACTTTAGGAGCAAAACGTCTTTCCATAGCTGTATCCTAAAGATAAGGTTCAGCTTCCCGGCTTGAGTGCCGGCCGGTTGTTCTTATGGGAATTCATGGCAGTCAACCACTCCGTCTGGTTTAAAGGTCCTTTAAATGGAACCTCAACACAATTTAAGGCTTGTTTTTAGTTAGAAGTCATGCAGAATAAATGGCGTAACTGTCCCTTTTGCTTTTGTAACAGGCACTTATGACCTCGACTCTTGCAAACATTTTGCTCAGAGTGGGACAGTGTATCTGTTTATGTTGGGATGTGATGATCCTGCTAACACATTCACTGATGCTCAGCACTCCCAGCTGAGTTTATAGTTAGCCGACCTGAAGAGAAGTAGATTTGCAACTTTGGGAAAAGTGTTTTTTTGTTAACATGAGCAATAGTTGAAGCAACCACAATGCTAACCCCAGCATTTCTGTACCTCCTTCCTCATTCTTAAACTTCCTTTCTCACCATGCCTCTCTTCATCCTGCTTCCTTGTTTTCCTTCAGGAGGGAGCACTGGAAGCTGCTGTCCAGCTTGAAGACCACAGTGGAGGGCCTCGTGTCCACCAACAACCCCAACGTGTGGTCGCGGTACGGCGGCTTGCAGCGGCTACACAAGGACATGAACAACATCCTCAGCCATGGACTGAAAAATGAGCAGGTCTGAAAATAAATACAGCCCGTTTTAAAAATATAAATACTTTTGTCCAGACTGTTGCTAATAGATACCATGACTCACTACTATCAACACAAGCTTTAGTCAGCCCTGGAAAATGTGCAGATCAAAGTTTGCATTGGTTAAACTTTGACCTGCGAATCTGGTTGGTCAGCTGACCCACTGTGGTCCGTCTTCATTTGTTGTATGTTTGAAAATGAGTGACTCATTGATTCTAGGAGTATCACAAACCCCCATTGTGCACAGTGCGTTTACAAAAGCATTTTCTAGCAAACATATCTCATAACCTGATTATCCACGTGATACCTAAACTCAAAAGGAAATCTGAGCCGTGCCGAAATGCTAACACGCTACCCGGTGACAACGTTTATGGACAAATTCTTAAGAAGAAAAAAGTTGAGGGAAAGGCAACAGTTATGCACTGACTGACAGAGGGTTATTATCACATGCAAGGTGTTTTTTTTTATTTTGAACATATTGTCAGACGGGTATTATGTGTTGACCTCCTAAAACTTAAGGAAAAAACTGTGCTGAAATGCGACTCCCTCCACATAATGGTGTATTGTCTTTATTGGGGCAGATATTCTTTGTAAGCCTGTGGTTTTGTGTTGCAGGTGTACTACAAGCAGAGGGACTACTGGCCGTTTGTTTGGTGCGTTCGCTACATCAGCCCCCACCTCGCCTCGCATGTCGAACAGGTATGCTCAGTGCCAGCCACATTCAAAGTGGTATGTAAATATTTATGGTTTTGCCTGCACGCAGGATTTTAAAATATGCAAGTTTATGTGAACACGTGTCGAAACATTTTTTTTCTCATATGGGCTTTAATCCTCAGATGTTAGAACTCATTTAATAGGACAATGTCGACGTGAACCTTCAGATCATGAGCTGACGTTATAGTATAGTTTTCACTCTGCTTTCTGATGAGGTGATACGAAAATACTGCACTATCAATAAGCTCAAGAAGGATCCACGAACTAAAGCAATAATAGTCACTGTTGAGCCGTCAGTATTTGCAGTTTGGGTTTCATTGATCATCTATTGTGTGCGTCTCTGTTGGCACATAAAGGAAACGCCTGAAAACTTGCAAAACAAACTGTGATGAGCAGCTTATTTCTTTTTAATACATGGGCGTTAATCTGGCTTTTGTTTTTTTTTAAACCGTTTTCTCACACTTGATTTATTCTCCTCCTATTACTCATCTTGTTGCTTGGTTTGTTTCAAAGCCGTGTTGAAATTTTGAGTGCTTCACAGTAAGAACCCACAACAAAGGGGCCTTGCATGTTTCAGCGACTGTAGCTCGCATTCACAAGCTTAAATGGACACATAGTTTTGTGTAGTTGCTCGGCTGCAGAGATAGCTGTGTGTATTTTCCAAATATCGATCGGGCCGAGGATGAGTTCTGTCTGATTGTATGACGCGCTGTCTCTTCATAAATAATGCACAGAAGTCCGATATATTTCTCTCCTTGTATGAAAAGTGAATGGTGATTTGCAGGCATTACACAGTACTGGGTAGGATGTAGACTACGACAAACTTGTCAAAAAAATAAAGACACTATACGTTTGCTAAGTCAATCAAGCGTGGCGGTCAACAAAAATTACGGCTACCCAGTCCTCCTCTCTCTGACAAAACGACTGCATTACTGACTGTCAGCCCCTTTGACAGCTCAACCTGTCACCAACAACACCCACGTGGCCCATGCTCCACATCACCATGACAACCAAATAAACTGTTAACTCAGTGATCAATACTCAAAAAACAACGTTTGTGGCTCCTACAATCGTTTTTGTGTTTTAGTGGTGGGAAAAGCATTTGTTTGCAGTAAACGCAGCACTTGTTATTAGGGAGCTTGTGTTCTAAACATCAGTTGTCCTGCAGGTGAAGTAAAATTAGATGTTGTAGTTGAGAACTAATTTGCCTGTAGGAAGAAAACATGTTATTTTTGTGAAGCTGTAATGTGGCTGTTTGTTAAGTCTCTCATGTTGGTGGACTCTCGTCTGTTTTGTGCCAAAACTTAGATCACAGCCAGATGATGAAGAAGAAGCA